GACTATTAGAAGTTTGTGCTAGTGCATGAAATGTAGCATCATGAGTTAGAATGAATGGAAAGAAGAATTGATAGGATTTCATAATTCAGTCAGAGGGATGAAGATGGATGAGGAGGGGATGATGACACTGGCTCTTCAGCTTCACTATCTATCTTAGTCCATTTGTGATGTTATAACTCAACCATGTAGAATAACCACTGAATAACTGATGCACAATGAAATTTTATTTTCTATTTCTTGAGTCTTGGAAGTTAAAGACCAAGGCACTAGTGGGTTTAGTTGTCTGATGAGGACTGCTCTTTGCCTCCCAGATGATTCTTCTGCAGTGTAGGAATGCTGGGTCCTCATGTGTTGGAATGCAGAAGGGCTAGGCACCCGAATGCTGTGGTAAGCCTCTTTTCTCAGGGCCTTAATCCCATTCATGAGGAAGGAACTCTCATGGCCTTACCACCTCCTCTAGGCTCCACCTTGTAGTACATCTCATTGACAACACCTTCAAACCACAGCATTCTGCTTCTGACCTCCAAAAAATTCATTTCCTTCTTCCATGCAAAACACAATCTCTCCAGTCTCAATAGCTACAAATTCTCAATTTGTTCCAGCATCTACTCAAAAGTCTATAGTCCCCAGAGTCTTATCTAAATGAGACATGGGTAAGACTGAAGATGTCTTTCAAACTGAGGCCCACTGGGCTTGCACTGGGCATGGCAGGCTTGAAGTTGTCTGAAATGCCTTTGAGGTCATTCTCCCATGTTTTGATGAATAGCACCAGGCTTCCTTCTGTTCATATTAGTCTTTTATTGAAGGACCACTTGGGCACACTCTTGATTTGTTCTCTTTTTGGGGGACAGGGGTGTACCCAGGATTGAACACAGGGGCACTTGACCACTGAGCCTCATCCCCAGCCCTAATTATGCATGTCTTTTTTAAAGACAGGGTCTCAAGAGTGGCTTAGCACCTCCCTTTTGCTGAGGCTGGCTTTGAACTCACGATCCTCTTGCCTCAGCCTCCCAAGCCACTGGGATTACAGGTGTGTGCCATTGCACCCAGCTAGGTTTGTTCTCTTAAAGGTACTTTTTAAATCCTTCACATGACAGGCTGTGAATTTTCCAAATTTTACATTCTACTTCTCTTTTAATTACAAATTCCATCTTTAAATTGTTTCTCTCTTCTCACATTTAAGAGAAGCCATTAGCCCCCTGAATGCTTTGCTGCTTAGAGATTTCTTCCATGGAATATCCGAGTTCATTGCTCTAGAGTTCTGCCTTCCTTAGAGTCCTGGGGCAGGCCTAATTTGATCAAATACTTTGCTGCTTTACAACAAGGATGGACCTTCCTACAGTTCCTCATTATCCCTTGTTCCTCATTATCATCTGAGACCTCATCAGAAGGGTCTTTACTATCCATATTTCTACTAGAATTCTCATTATGGCTACATGGATAATTACTAAATAGGCTGAGGCTTTCCCTTCTACTCTTCTCTTCACTAGACTTGCCCTGAATGTTTTATTCACAGTGATGATATAGGCCTTTCTCAGTATTCACTTCAGACCTCTCCTGGTCTCTTATTTATCACCAAATTCCAAAACTGCTTCTACAGTAATGTCTTTATCATAACAACACCTCACCCCTCTGTTACCCATTTTCGATCTTTGTTGATTTGATACGACTGTAACAAAATAGAGTGGGTAATTTATGAGGAATAGAGATTTATTTTCTCACAGTTTGGGAGGCAGGGAATTCCAAGGTCAAGACATCAGCAGGCTTGGTTTTCTAGTGAGGGCTGCCCTCTGCTTACAAGATGGTTCCTTCTGAGAGGAGAAATGCTATATCCTCACAGGCAGAAGAAGAGGCTATCAGGATGCAGGTGAAGACTTTTTTATAAGGGCCTTAACCCTGTTAGCAAGGAGGGAGCCCTCATGTCCAGTCACCTCCTGAAGGCCCATCTCTTAATACTATTGCATTGGTAAGGGACACGTTTGAACCATAAACTCTCATGGAGAAGATGGCCCTGAGCTAGAAGCTAGAGGGTGGGGGAGAAGTCAAGCTACTGTGTGCTTCTTGGTCTTCTGTTTAGTTCAATTATTGTAAGAGCCTGGCAAGGACAAAGTGGTGGCTCAGTACACCCTTAGAAAAAGGATATATTCAGAGGGATTATATTTTAAATCTATAAGTGAGGAGATTCCTGCCAAGCTTCTTTTGAATTAAAGTCCAGAATATGGGAGGAATAGGAATGGCCATTAATGCGATAAGACAACGTTTCTGAATGAAGGATATAAAATCAAATAGAGTCTGTTTTTGCTGCTCCTGGAGAATCACAGCAACAATCATTTTGCCACTCTGTGCTTTAACAATACAGTACATCTTTCATTATACTTTCCAGAGTGAAAGGGCGTGTGGTTTCTCTCCACAGTAACAGACATGTTTTCTTGAACAATACCCAGTAAAGGTCACATTGGAGATTTAAGTCGCAAGCCCTGTGATTTAAATTTGAGGCTAGGTTTAAAAATGGTATGTCTAGAGCTTGCCAAGTTCCATTAAAAGCCCTGGTGTCATTTTGGATTACCGTTGAATAGAACAGGATCCTATGGGATATTGTACCTTTGTTTGTAGCAATACATAGATTTTCTCCTTTGTATTATTCCTTGGCTGTGTTGTTATGGTAAATATCTACTTTCATGCCAAATATTAGAAAATATAGTCAAAGTTCCTGAGTCTACTGTTTCTGTAGGATGCCTAATTTTCTGACTTTTGAATTATCATCAGAGGACTTCTGAAGAGCCTTATCATGTGAAAAGACTTGTCATGTTTATTTAGTAATAGTTTATCTTAAATGTTGCTTTCTTCCCTGAAGCATTCTCAATTCCCTACATCCCCAGCAGAGCACATCGCCAGCTTCTCTGAAGCTCAGAGCAGCTCCTACCCCAGCTGATGTTGTCATGCTGTTACGCAGCAGAACTACTTATATTTTCTAGCATCCACTGAGTTCCTACTTTGTGCCCCTTAGTGCACCAAACAGTTCATATGGATTACCTTACTTAATCTTCCAAGTATATCACACAGTGAGGAAGCTGAGGTAAGAGGGTATCATGGCCAAGGCTGTAAGTGATGAAGCAGGAGAACCCCAGCCAGCCTGGCTTCAGGCCCGTTCTTGAATTTATTAGCACAGCCTTCTTATTGTTTTTGATGTTTATAGTTTATGCTTCTACAAGGGCAGTCTGTTGCTTAGGGGGTGAGGTATACAAAGACAATCTTGTGCATTTCAGTGTTTCTAGAATTTTCCAAATTGTTGATTGACTCATAAATATTCAATGAATAATAGCTGAGTGAATACTTGAAAATTGAAGTGGGACATTCTGGCAAACAGGCATGCTGGTTTAGGAATACAACCTGAAAGTTTCATTTTGGAGAGGTATGAGGAAAAAAGAATGTTAGTATATGAGGTTTGAAGAGGAGTTTCCATTTGTTTTTTATTCCTGTCACTTAGGTTGGATTCTGTGTTCCAAACTGCCTTCCCCCAGCTCTTCTTCCCTCTTTCATGCAAAGATGATCCAGCTTTTTCACTGTTCTTTTTTCTTTTTTGCCCCATGTAACACTCCGAGGCTTCAGTTCTGCAGAACTTGAAAATACTGTCAATCATTTCCCCCTGTTTGTTTATTCAAGACGTAAGCTCAAGTTGACAAAAATAAAATTTTGAAAAGTTAATGTGTGACCTCCTGGCCCCATCATTTTCTAGCCTTTCTGAGGCTTCACAAGTACAATGTGGAAATAAGCTAAAAGTTCTAAAACTCAGACAAAAGTCCGTGGCTTTAAAAGCTGGCACTTGGAGGGAAATTTTGAATTGTTTAGTTGGTGGGTACTGACCCTGAAACTCTTGTAAGAGTGGGTACTAGGACAACTGGCAGAGGGTAAGCTGTAGGGCTCTCTGAGTTGGCACTGGATCTATGAGAAACATGTAGATAATTGACTAAAAATCAGAATAGAAATCCAGAGAAAGCCTGCCAAGCCTTGTTCAGTCACCCTTAGCTATTGAGATGAATGTAGCCACAGGGAGATAGTCAAAATACTCAGGGACATCCAGGGAGGATGTGGGTTTGGTTCTTAATTGCATCAGAAAAACCATGACAGCTCTCTTGTACCATGACAGCGAAGGAACTGTGAGTCATGAGAAGGGGCCAGAGGAAGATGGGCAGTTTGGGCTGTCTCCCTGATGTAGCAGCACACAGAATCAGCACCCTCACACTAGGGACTCCATTTCCAAGGAGCACCGTCTGTGGAAGAAAGGGTGCGTCACTTAAAGCTGGATGAATTTCTGTAGGCTTGACCAAAGAAGACAAAATTTAACATGTAATTAGAACAGATTAGAAAAGATAATTTCATAATTAATTTAGTAATGTTTGAATTAATTTAGTGTATTGTGGTGGCATTATGTATCCTCTTGTCAATTCTGTTTGTGAAATATTTTTCTAAATCCAATAGGCTACAGAGTTCAGTGACGGAAAGATATAGGCTTCTAGGTTTCTAGGCTTTAGTGGACAGTCTACTAAGGTTTGAGCTCAGCAATCTGTGTGTAGGTTATCTCATCTCTAAAATGAGCCAGTTGCAGGGCTGTTTCAGAGGTCAAAGATCCTCCATGTCTGAAGCCCCTGGCACAGAGCCTCACCCTTGGTAGGCCCTGGGGAATGAGCCTTGCTGCCTCTGTGCTCAGACCTGTCCACAGTTTTCCAACCCCCGCCTGCTAATTAAGGGAAAATGCAGACATGTACTTAGTTACAAAATACTGCTGACTTTTGGCTGTCTCTGAATACAGTGACGAAAGGCAATATCCCACCTTGCCATTTGTGAATAAAAAGTTTTGGGATACACAATTAGTAAAAATTAATAATATCATGCTGATAATTCCTGCAGGTGCTAATATAGTACTTCCTCACTACCAGGGATGGAACTCACAGTAATGGTACTTTGAACATTCCCTAATGGTGTATTTTTTTTTTCTTCCAGAAGTTTCTGGCATGCCAGAGTCATTCTGTCTTCCATGGGACTTCTTTCTTGAACAACTTTCATTGAAAAGACTTTTATGAATACATTGTTTCAGTAAAGCCCCGAAGAACACATTTGTCGTCTGATCTGCTGGCAGTTTTAAGGTTTGTATTATTTTTTTCCATTGTTCTTACTGAAGATATTGTTCATTTTAAGGGATACTTTTAAAATGCATAGTAGTCATGTTCCATTTTAATAAGAACTATGCAAATAGAAATGCACAAATTGTAATCCTTTGATTTCATTGAGAGATGGATATAAATGAAAAGAAATAGGCTATACTACTTTTCATACGTATTGTATACTCTGTGGGATGCTACAAGAGTAATAGACATGAAATATACTCCACATTAATTGAAAACACATTTTAATTTTAGGTTCATAAATTTAAACTGAATAGCCAGTAAGTTTTATGTAAAGTGCCTATATCAGCTTTTAAGTACTTTGAAATAATTAATACCTTGTTAAAAATTTATATTTTGAGACATCAAAAACTAAAACTGCATTTATCAATATCAATTATTATTATTGTTATTTTTACACTTTTCAAATTACAAAATCTCAGTGCTACCAGGAAATATTCATCTTAGTTTCATGAATTATATAATAGGGTTTGTTTAGGATTTGTGTGTGTCTGTATATGTATGTATATTAAAAGTTTGAAAAATTAACGGTATGTTGCTTACACAAGGAAAAGCTTGCTAGTGAAACAAACCTTTCATTTGGAAGTTTATGTTAGCCATTGAGATAAAACACTTCCATTTTGAAGATACTTTCTGACAAAGACCTAACCAAAGGCTAAATTCAGTTCATGCATCTTTCATAGCCGGAGAAAGAAACAGGGTATAGGGTGAAGTCTGGTGCTTGAGTGAATGGAAACTAAATGTAGAGCAAATGAGAAGGATCATAGTACTTTCTAGCACTATGACACGTCTCTTCCCAAAGGCATTGATTTCATTTGGTGGGACTTTTATTCTGTTCAAGGTGACAAATGTTTTCCCCCTAATGGAACTTTACTGTGTTTTACTATTTTATTTCTTTTATTTCTACTGAGAAATCAAAGCTGATTTTACTGCAACAGTGAGCTATATTCCAGTTTTCCCAGTGCACCCTCACTGTTGGGCTTCATGATTAGCTCACACTGAAGAGGGAGGAGGCTGGTATTTATTGAGGGAGCTGGCGGATGGGAAATTGTGCCCCTATCTTCCACCCTCCAGTCTGTCAGTGTGGTAGGATGTACAGTCTGTTGGAACCTAATAACTGTATCCATGGAAACAGAAGCACTGGAAAGGAATTGAGAAGTTACCCAAATGTTCCTGCCTAGTCTACAAGCAAGATTCTGCTTAAACTATCTGAAACCTAGAAGAGCCTATTGGTTTTTAAATTTTCATACCCAGGGATCTAGTATTCTTTTCTTTTAAATTGTGGTAAACACACACATACAACATGAAATCTACCCTCTAACAAAATTTTAAGTGCATTTTAAATTATATGCATGTTGTAATAAAGTAAATCCTTATTACTTTTTTAATGTTGCTCGACTGAAACTTTATACCTGTTGAACACCATATCTCCTAACTCCATTCCTGGGCAACTGCTTTTCTACTTTGTTCTTCTGTAAGTTTTATCACTTTAGATACTTATATGAGTGAAATCATACAGTTTGTCCTTTTGTAACTAGATTGCATCACTTAGCCTAATGACCTCAGTTCATCCATTGTTGTCGCATATGCAAGATTTTCTAAGTCTGAATAATATTCCTTTCTAGGTATATGTCACATTCTCTTTATTCTTCTGTTGATAGACATTTAGATTGTGCACAGGGGTGAAACTGACTGTGGCAAATATGCCTTAATGAATATGGTATGCAAGTATATCTACAAGGTCTTTTAAATTTTTTTGGATATATACCGAGTGGGATTGCTGGATCATCTATCAATTCTATTTTAAGTTTTTGGAAGAATCTCCATACTGTTGTCTTCAATGCTGCACCATATTGTATTCACACCAACAGTGTACAAGGATTTCATTTTCTCTGGTTCTTGTTATTTTGATAATAGTCATCCTGACAGGCTCATTTTAGTTTTGATTTGCATTTCTCTAATGATTGATGATGCTGAACATCATTTTATATATCTGTTGAACATTTGGATGTTTTCTTGGGAGAAATGTCTATTCAAGTTCCTTGTTCAACTTTTAATTACATTATTTGTGTTTTTGCTATTAAATTGTAGCAGTTCCTTTGATTTTTTTAGATATTAACCCCACATCACATATATTGTTAGCAAGTATTTTCTTCCATTTTGTAAGTTGTCTTTCACTCTGTTGATTATTTTCTTTGCTGCACAAAAGCTTTTTAGCTTTTTTTTTTTTTGTACCAGGTATTGAACCCAGGGCCACTTAACCACTGAGCCAAATCTTCAGTGAATTTTCATATTTTGTTTAGAGACAGGGCCTTGCTAAGTTGATGAGCCTGGCTTTGAACTAGCGATTCTCCTACCTCAGCCTTCTGAGCTGCTGGGATAACAGGTGTACACCACTGTACCCAGCTAAAAGCTTTTTAGTTTGATGTAATCCCAGTTCTCTATTTGCTTTAGTCACCTACATTTTTGGTGTCATATCTAAGAAATCATAGCCATAAACAATGCTACAGAACTTTTTTCATGTTTTCCACTAGTAGTTTTGTTGTCTTGGGTCTTATGTGTAACTGTGATAATTTTGGGTTGGTTTTCATGTATGATGTAAGATAATAGCTCATTTCATTCATTTGCCTATGGATTACCATTTTTCCCAGCACAATGTGTTGAAGAGACTGTGCTTACCTTACTGTGCGGTCTTGGAACCCTTGCAAAAATCATTTGATTGAATATGCATGGGTTGATTTCTGGACTCTCTGTTCTATGCTGTTGATCTATATGGATGCCTCTACGTTAGTACTATATTATCTTGATTACTATAGCTTTGTAGTATATTTTAAAGACAGGAAGTATGAGGCTTCTAGTATAGTTATTTTTTTCTCAATTTTAGAATTGTTATTGTTTCTCTGTTTCTGTGAAAAATGCCATTGGGGGTTTGGTAAAGATTGCATTGAATCTATGGATCACTTTGGTTAATATGGACATTTTAGCCATCTTAGCAATGTTAAGTCTTTCAGTCCATGAACATGAGAGATCTTTTTATTTATTTGTGTATTCTTTGGTTTTATTGTTGTTGTTAGCAATTTTTATAGTTTTTAATATATAAATATTTTGCCGTTTTTGGTTGTTTATTCTGAACTATTTTCTTTTACATTATGGTGAATGGACTTGTTTTCTTAATACCCTTTTCAGACTGATCATTGTTAGTATATTGAAATACAACTAAATTTTTATCTGAAAATTTGCTGAATTTATTCTAACAGTTATCTTTATTATTATTACATGGAATCTCTAGATATATCTGCATATAAGATTAAATCATTACGAAAAAGAAATTATTTTGCTACTGCCTTTCCAATTTTTATGTTTTCATTTCTTTTTTTTTTTTTTGCCTAATTTTTCTGACAAAGACTTCCAATAATATGTTGAGTAGAAGATGTGAGAGTGACAACCTTGCCTTGTTTTTGATCTTAGAAGGAAATATTTAGATTTTCATGATTTAGTATGGTATCTGCTCTGAGTTTCTTATATATTACTTTTATTATGTTGAGATAATCTCCTCCTGTATCTAATTTGCTGATTTTTTTTAATCATGAAAGAGTGCTAAAATTTTGTCAAGTACTTTTCTGCATCTGTTGAAATGCTCTTGTGATTTTAAGTTTTTTCTTTTTGGTTCATATGGTGTGTTTTATTGAATGGTTTTTGTGTCTTGAACCATCCTTGCATCCCAGGGATAACTCCCACTTGCTCTTGGCATATGATGCTGTTATTGTGTCATTGAATATGTCCACTAGCATCCTTTGGTCAGCTAACATCCTTGAGGATTTTTGTAGTTGAATTCATCAGAACTACTGGCCTGATTTTTCTTTACCTGTTTGTTATGTCTGGCTTGGACCTCTGGTTATACTGGCCTCATATAAGTTTGGAAGTGTTAAATCTTCTTCAATTTTTTGAAAAGTTAATTCTTCTCTAAGTGTTTGGTAGAATTTTCCAGTAAAACTAAATCTGATCTAAAGCTTTTCTTCATTGGTAGGTTTTTGATTATGAATTCAGTCTCTTTTCTAGTTATAGGTCTGTTCAGGCTTTCTATTTCTAGATTTGATCTTGTTAGGTTATATATTTCTATTTTATTTATGTTATACAAATTTTTTGGTATTTTACTGTTCATTGTGGTCTCTTTTGATTCTTTTTATGTCTGTGTTGTCAGTTGTAATGTCTTCTTTCATTTTTTATTTTATTTATTTGGTGATACTGGTAATTGAATGCACAGTCACTGTACTACTGAGCTACATCCTTAGCTCTTTTTAATTTTTATTTTGAGACAAGGTCTCACTATGTTGTCCAGTTTGGCCTCAAACTCAGGAAGCTCCTGCCACAGTCTCCCAAGTAGGTGGGATTACAGGTGTGTGCCACCACGCCTGGCTATTTCCTGATCCGTTATTGTGTTAATTTATTTTTTCTTCTATAGACAAAATTTTTTATCAGATTTCCTCCATATCATCAGCATTTCAATTTTCAAATTGTCATTTTTCCTCTTTGGTATAGACAAGTCCATTTAAAAACAAACAAGCAAACAAACAAAAAAACCCTTTTCCTATAAAATTATATAATTTAGAATTTTACTGACCTTTATAGTTCTTTTCTAATACTCTTACATTCTTTACATTTCACTTAACTTTAAGATATCAGATGGGTTGAAGGAATATTAAAAATTATCTATTGGTGTTTCTCAATTGAGGCCAAATGCGCATCTCAAGTAGGACAGTTCTTTGTAATACAAGGCTGCACCATGCAGTTTGAAATTTTTAATAATCTTGGTTCTCAGGAACTACAAGCCAACAGCTCCTCCATACCCCAGTCATCGTGATAATCAATTCAGACCTATTTTCCAATGTACCTCTGGAGGAGGTCTGCAACTCCCCAACTACAAAGTCCTCACTTGAAGTTGATGGTACTGAAATTGATGG